CTCCACTGGATGCCGATCCATTTTGGGCAGGATTCAAAGTGATGGTTCTAACCTATGAAGCCCTAAATAGTGTAGGCCCAAGCTATTTTAAAAATTACCTGCCCCTTTATGAGCCTGCAAGTGTTAATAACAACTTGGTCCTGCCACTGGTGGGGACACAAGAGAGGGCCTTCTCTGTTGCTGCTTCCAGATTCTGGAACTTCCTCCCACAGGAGGTCAGGCTGGCCCCATCTTTGTTGTCCTTCCACAAGCAGGCAAGCTTTCCATGACTGCTGAGTGGTGTTATGAATGGATTTTTGTACCTTACTGCAGTCAATGCATTTTGGTGTTGCTTATATTTATTGGTATTCATTGATCTTTTTAGTATTGTATACTCACTGTTGTTAGCTTAAGCACTGTCTTTTAATTGTAAGCCACTTTAGTCTTTTTTTAAGGAGAAAGACAGGTTAAAAATATTTTAAATCTTTTTAAAATAAATAAATAAATAGTTTACAAATGCTAGAAAAACACATGTGCTCTATAAACATAGTGGAAAGCTACATTGAAACAATTAAAATAGCTTCAGGGTTTACTGACAGTGGAAGAGCAGAAGCTTTTCATGTTTAGAAGACAGAAATGAAGGAAGTGTAACAAATACAGTGGTGCCCTGCATAGCGACGATAATCCGTGCAGCCAAAATCGTCGCTATACAGATTCGTCACTATGCGAAATTAAAAAGCCCATAGGAATGCATTAGAACCCGTTTAATGCGTTCCTATGGGCAAAAAACTCACCTTAATGTGAAAATCCTCCATACGGTGGCCATTTTTGCTGCCTGGTAAGCGAGGAATCCGGGCAAAAACACAGTGGGCAGCCATATTTTTCCCGGTGGCCATTTTGGAACTGCCGATCAGCTGTTTTTAAAACATCCCTATGCGAAAATTGGTAAGCGAAACAGCTTACCGATCATCCCAAAGCGATTTTTTACCATTAGAAACATCGTTATGCAATCGCAAAAACGATCGCAAAAAATCAGTCGCTATGCGGATTCGTAGTTAAACGAGGCGCTCGTTAAGTGAGGCACCACTGTAATTACATTCACTTTCAAAAAGACTAAAGTGTCTTTTTTTAAAAAAAAGTTGGATGTTGCCTTGCTCACTGTATCATAGTGGCCATGTATATTTCAACATTTTTTATTTAAAAGGTTGTATGGGTCTTCTTCCAGTCTACAGTGGCTCTGGTTTGGGGCATATGCCTGGAATTATGAGGACAATTTCAGGATGCTCATAAAGTAATTCTACTCAGAAGCAAGTCTTACTGTCTGCTGAGGCTTGTTTCTTTGTATGTGTGTTTAGGATTGTAACCACTATTTCCTCATCTAGCTTGCAACACCATTCAAAAGCACTATTCAGCTTAGCAATATGGCCAGCCTCTGCCTGAGGCATGGAGGTATACATTTGCCTGTTTGTCAGCAGTAAGAGTTGACTGCATTGATGGGGCAGGTAGGTCTGTTGTGGCAAATTCTTTTCCCATTCTTGAATGTTTTGTCCCACAATTTGAGAATCCTGTGGTAGACTGTTGACAGTCCTGGTCCTAGATCTCCTAATCAGCTGTGCTGCCGGTGTCTAAAAAGGGCACTGTATAAGTATGTACACGTTAATTACATTGTGGCTGTAACTGCCGGGTTATTCTCATAAGTGCATAATAGAACATTATACTTCTCAAGTGTCCCTTGCTATGAAAGCTGCCCTATCTTCCATTCTTTCTTAAAGGCTAGAGGAAATGTGCTAAGCAAAGCACAGTTTCTCAGAGCAAACAGCTGTGAAACGGGCAGAAGAGTGGGAACAAAACAATTACGAAAAATAGGGGAGGAAGCATATTTATACTATCTGTTTTTGTTATATGCTGTCATAATTCTAGCAAACTACTCCCTTGCCTTTCCAGCTGTGGCCCCAAGAGTGTGAGATGTTGGGAGACGGGCCTGGTCTCAGAAGCTGTATGTAGGAAGAAAATCTCAGTCTTGATTATGTTGCATTTCTCTGAATCTTGTCTGCATTTTTCTTTTTGCCCCGTTTTCCTTCTCCTACCACAGGAGGAAGTGGATAGCAACTAGAGATGGGGTATTCATATACAAATATGAATCTCCCCGCACAAGTGTAAATAACAAGGGTTCGGCCCCATGGGGCCGGTCTGTCCACTCACGATTTCGATGACGCCGCTGGCTCCGCGGAGGCTTCCTATCGCACTGTTGTCCGGAATCCATTACCCAGTCCTGGCAGGAGGCAGGATGACAAGCCTCTCTGCTAGGTCGAAGAGTGACTAACCAATTGCAGAGAACGGCATGATAGGAAGCCTCTGTGGAGCTGGTGGCAGTTGTAAAATCATGAGTGGACATCCTCGTTATTTCCACCTGTGCGGGGATATTTGCATTTGTATAAGAATATGAATATCCCCAATTGCTTTCCAGAAGATCTCACACTGAAATATATCTGTTAGTCTCAAAGTTTCATTCTTTTATTTCTCTTATTGTAATGTTGTTTTTAGTCGTTAAGTCATGTCCGACTCTTCGTGACCCCATGGACCAGAGCACGCCAGACCCTCCTGCCTTCCACTGCCTCCCAGAGTTGGGTCAAATTCATGTTGGTTGCTTCAATGATACTGTCCAACCATCTCATCCTCTGTCGTCCCCTTCTCCTCTTGCCTTCACACTTTCCCAACATCAGGGTCTTTTCCAGGGAGTTTTCTCTTCTCATGAGATGGCCAAAGTATTGGCACCTCAGTTCAGGATCTGTCCTTCCAGTGAGCACTCAGGGTTGATTTCCTTCAGAATTGATAGGTTTGTTCTCCTTGCAGTCCAGGGGACTCTTATTGTAATAGGTAAAGGTAAAGGTTCCCCTTGACAATTTTTGTTCAGTCGTGTCCGACTCTAGGGGGCGGTGCTCATCCCCGTTTCCAAGCCATAGAGCCAACGTTTGTCCGAAGACAATCTTCCATGGTCACATGGCCAGTGCGACTTAGACACAGAATGCTGTTACCTTCCCACCGAAGTGGTCCCTATTTATCTACTTGCATTTGCATGCTTTCGAACCGCTAGGTTGGCGGGAGCTGGGACAAGCGACGGGAGCTCACTCCGTCGCATGGATTCGGTCTTAGGACTGCTTGGTCTTCTGACCCTGCAGCACAGGCTTCTGCGGTTTAGCCCACAGTGCCACCACGTCCCCTCTTATCGTAATATCTGGGTATAAATACCTTTAAAAGTTGCCAGCTAAAATCCTGCTCCATAAGTTACACTGAGTAAAGTTGATGACATTATTAGCCAGATTGTTCAAAAATAAAAGATTTTCAATTCCTCCCCCCCATGAAGGTCCAAATCTCCTGTGGAAGATTTTGGAAAGCCATTGGGGGCTCTGAAAGGGTAGGTGGGTGTTTAATTATCAACAGTCATTGTCACCAGGATGACTGTACTGGTAGTGGCAATTTCAGTTTCAGAATAAAGTTATTCCTCATTGAGATACAATAGTAACATAATATAGTTCTTCATTTGCTGTTGGGAAAATGTGTTTTGAAGTTGTACAGAATTCTCAAACTTGATACAGGTTGCCTCAGATTTATACTGAGAGCTAAATGGCTGTTTTACAATTGAAATGTTCCAGGTTCAATTCTGGCAGTCCACGGTTAAAATCTCAGATGGCGGGTGGGAAAGATTTTCATCTGAGACTTTGGAGAGCTACTTCCAGAGGAGGTCATGAAAGGGAGGGCATTGCTCTGATATGTGACAAAAAGCTGACCTCTGTCAGGACTATCTGGATTCTTGACTTGGGAATGGAGCATTTGGTGTAGGATTTCCTGTCTGCTCTAAAATAGCCATGATTTATTTGGTTGTCAGTGAGTGTTGTGCCTCATGTGGGTAAACTGGTGATTCTTGGTGAGTGTGTACTGCTCCTGGCCATCTAGACATAGAAGCTTTGCAGAAACTGGTTCCTTGCAAGTCATTTTTGTCCTGAAAGGAATATAGCTATGCATGGGAAGATAGTCTAGAAAGCATTTTTATAAACTACAAATGTTTGTGGATTAATTTGTGTTAAAACTGTGTTGCATCAAGGTCACAAATGCTTGTTCAGATATTTGTGTGGATAATTTGAATTTTTAAAAAATATGTATAAAACAGATTTGTGGTTCAGAAGAAGTGGTCATGAAAGCTTCTGCCAAATAAAATATGACTACTTTTAAGGTGCTACCATACTCCTGATTTATTTTGGTAGTTGAAGCTACTTGAGTTTACAGAGTATTTATATTTCAAATAAAGAAGATGATTTTGTAGACTGTTGTGTGAAATTCAGAGTAAGTTCTAAACAACAAACTGATCCATGAATGCCTTTAATAATCTTTTGTTGTTTGATTATTTAGTACTTTATGACAAGCAGGCCACTGAATAAAGTGACTCTTTCATGGAAGAGCACTGTACTTGATGCCTGAGGTGATGTGGAGATTCTTCTGCCTATGATGTTAGATTTTAGAAAGCCTACTCTACATAATGTAGCAGAATGAGGTGATAAAGCAGGCTCTGCCACTTCAGATTGTCGGGAGTGTACTCTCTCTCTCTCTTTCTCTCTTAAGTTTAGTTGCACAGCAGGGTACACTTTGGTCTAAAGCATTTTCTCCTTGATACAGGGAAATCTTTTTCAGCAGATTTTTTTTCTTTGTATAGGGGAGTCGCTGATAGTACTGCCCTTCACCTGCAGTCTGAAATTAATGCAGTCAAACACATTTCCTTGTTCCAATGCATGTGTAGACTAGGCCTTGTTTAGTCATGCCACCATCACATGATGCTGAACACCTGTGTTGGGATTCTACCGTTTTCAGTTCATTTTGGGATAAGAAATATTGTAAGTTTTTGTTGTGTTTTTAAAAAGACCAAACCAGGGTAATTAAATTAATAATACAGTCTGAATATTTTAAATTCCTAATACAAAGAGTGGAAAACAGAGATTCAACTTCCTCCTCTCCATTCTTATTTTTAGCATAATGGCCGACAACACAAGCAAGCCCACCAAGCAGGCGAACAGAACACCTCCAAAGTCTCCTGCGGATCCTGCAAAAGAAAGATCAGCTAAAAGGTTGTCCTGTGATTCAAACAGCTCCCATGATGGAGCTATTGGGCCAGAGCTCAGTGCTCTTGAAGAGGCTTTCAGGAAATTTGCCATCCACGGGGACACAAGAGCCACAGGAAAAGAGATGCATGGGAAAAACTGGTCCAAGTTGTGTAAGGACTGTCATGTGATTGATAGCAAGAACGTGACCCTCACAGATGTCGATATTGTTTTCAGCAAAATCAAGTAATTTTTTATCTTCTTTTTTAGCCTTATTTTACACCCCTCCTCTCGTGCACAAGCCTGCAGTGATGTTTATATTGCTGAGAGTAACAATAGCTAGAGCATGTGATCTAGATCCATTCCATTGCACTTTTTAAATGCTTTGGTATAAAATCTGTCCTCAGATTCTTTAAAGCAGGGGTCAGGGAACTTTTTTACCTTTTACTCCCCCCCCCCCCTTTTATTAAATACAACAGAACCCCCTACA